AGAGTGCTTTAACCACTGGGATAAAAGTTATTAGATGGGTTGTGGCACCATCTCCTCTGGCTATTTTATGAGGCAGCAAGACAGGCACCTAACTCATTCCCAAAGAAATAGCTGACCCAGGCTCTGAGACTTGCTGCCTCAGGGATTTTTTTGCAATGTAGACGTACCCCATGCTGCCCAAGCCACCCACCACCAGTAGCAGTTTCCCATTTGTGGATCGCTAAGCAGAGATAGATGTCTCCCTGTAGCCCAGACTGAGGGTACATCTACACTACAGTCGCTACAACGGCACAGCTGCAGTTCTGCCACTTTTAGCTCTGTTGTGTAGACACTTGCTACAGTGATGAAAGAGATTTTTCTGTCACTCTAGTAAACCCACCCCCTCAGAAGGCAGTAGCAAGATTGACAGAAGAATTCTTGTGTCAACATAATGGTGTCTATGCCGGGGTTTAGGTTGACTTATCTACTTCCCTCGGGAGTGCAAATGTATCATACCCCTGAGAACATAGCTAGCTTGACCTAAGGCCTGGTCTACACTAGGAAATTAGGTCAATACAACTGTGTCGCTAAGGGGTGTGAAAAATCCATACCCAAGTGACAGAGATAAACCAACCTAGCCCCCAGTGTAGACAGCACTAGGTCGATGGGAAAATACTCCCATCAGCCTCCCTGCTGTCTTTCAGGGAGGTGGATTACCTACGCAGACAGGAGAACCCCTCCCATTGGTGTAGGTAGCATCTTCATTGAAGCTCTACAACGGTGCAGCTGCAGTGGTGCCACAGTGCCATTATTGTAGTTTATGTGTAGATAAGCTCTAAATTGTGTAGACTAGGCCTTAGACACGTATCACCAAGAGAGGAAGGAGCTTAGGACACACCCTTCTCATCAGAATCTCCAACTAGCTAGCTTAGGCTGGCCCCTGCCTAGCATGTTGGCTTTTGTGGATCACATTCTAAGGCACCTGTCTCCCCCCATTCATTGTACAGGGAGCCTAAGGGCCTAACTCAGGCTTTGTGGATCACAATGTCGTTCCTGTGATTTTCTAAGCAGCTAAAAGTTAGGTGCTATAACTCTCAGCCTTGCAACATCTAAGTCCCTTTGTGGATCTAGGCACTTGTGCCTGCATTTCACATTGATTTTACTATTCCTCCCCTCCTCTACACACACTTCACTGTCAGGGGCATTTGTACTTGTAGACATGCATTTCAGGTAAAAAAATCTGCTTTCTAGTAAATTCAGAAAATCTGAATGATCTCTTCCTGAACTCAGTTGGGAACCTTTCTGATCACTTATTTTCAGACCTCTCTAGGTTAATAGTGTGGGAGGGGGGCAGTAATGAGGCATAAAAAACAAGGTGAGGGGGAGAAAAAGTGTGTGCACATAAAAAAAAAACCCAGAGAATTTTCCACTTTACAGAGATTGTGATACTACTGTATCTCCTATTCCATGCTTAGGAAGATATTATGGTAACTGCATGGGAAGGTGAATGTTAAGTTCTATACCTGTCCACTTTATGTGATTAGTGTGGCATATGTAGTCATGAAACTGTGATACTCTTCTCTTTCCTCTATACTGCACCTTTATGTTTCTAAGTTCTCTCCCTGGATGCACAGTTTAGCAACCATTTTGTTATCAGAGTTCAGACTGTCTGAAAAGTCCTAGTCTGTGCTCTCACATAGACCCTTTGTTCTTGCTGGTTCTTGTTTTGCTGTTCTCAATCTAAAATAAAGGTCATTCTGATTAAAATAAAGTTTTTCCATTCACAAAGAGCAAGCAGATATTATTTTTGGTCTGTCATGCATCCTGAATTATCAAGCACCTGACTACATGTATTGTAGTTTTAATGAGGTCAACATTGTTCTCTTTGTCACTTTGAAACACAGCAATATATCAGTGCATGTTTGCATTAACTTTATTTTCACCTTTGTTTCTGGAGAAGGACAACTTCATAGGAAAATGTCTGCTACCGTGTATCCAAATTACAAAATCACTTTCAAATTTCAGTCACTTATAATTCAACCTCCTGTGTTCCTAGAGAACCTAAAACCAAAGCCTTTAGCCTAAATTCAGTTTCACCAGATCTTTGAAGTTTCTTAATAGAAGAGTATCTCCACAATATCTATTAAAATAAAGTTTCAGAGTGGTAGCCATGTTAGTCTGTATCAGCAAAAATGACAAGGAGTCCTTGTGGCACCATAGAGACTAACAAATTTATTTGGGCATAAGCTTTCGTGGGCTAAAACCCACTTCATCAGCTGCATGGAGTGAAAAATACAGTAAGCAGTATAAATATTACAGCATGTGACAAGATGGGAGTTGCCTTAACAAGTGAGGGGGGAGGGGGTCAGTGCTAACAAAGCCAATTCAATTAAGGTAAAAGTGAATTGAATTGGCCTTGTTAGCACTGATCCCCCCACTTGGTAAGGCAACTACCATCTTTTCACGTGCTGTAATATTTATACTGCTTACTGTATTTTTCACTCCATGCAGCTGATGAAGTGGGTTTTAGCCCACGAAAGTTATGCCCAAATAAATTTGTTAGTCTCTAAGGTGCCACAAGGACTCCTTGTTAAAATAAAGTTGCCATTTTGACAACACTTCAGAATTTAGTCCTCTGTCTTCTGAAGAGATACAGCACAGGCAACACCTATAACGGCTTGATCATATTACCCTGTGGAAATGCAACCATGATGACTCATTGATAGAGTGACTAGATGTCCTGTTTTTAAAGGGACAGTCCCGTTTTTGGGGACTTTTTCTTATATAGGCGCCTATTACCCCTCACCCCCGTCCCGTTTTTTCACAGTTGCTATCTGGTAACCCTACTCATTGATCATTTGGCTGCAATACCCACATCCTGCAATGCTGCCGCAGTCAGTCATGCTGTTAGTCAGCAGCAATCCACTTGGTGCTGCTGCTGTCTTTTTCTATTTGTTTAGCTACACATATACAAGTATCAAACCCTGGGGCTATATTACGATGACAGCATACTGATGGCAATTTATAACATGTATGTTACTTTTAAGGACTTAAATCTAAATCTGAAGATTACATTCTACCCTGTTGTATGCTATTTCAAATGGTTTAGTACAGAATATAGTGCATTGTGTACAGTAAGCATGTTACCAGCATGTGAAATTTAATTATAACTGTGTCAAAGACTAAGGTTATGTCTACACTACAGTCTATGTCGACAAAACTTACGTTGCTCAGTGGTGTGAATATTCCATCCCCCTGAGCATAAGTTACATCGACATAAGCATTCATGTGCACCGAGTTATGTCAACGGGAGGTGGGTTTTTTATGCTGATGAGAGACCTCTCTCCTGTCAGCACAGAGCTTCTTCACTAGACACGCTACAGCAGCACAGCTGTGCCACTGCAGCGCTGTACATATAAATATACCCTAAGTGGAGTACTAGAATAGTTTAATCACATTTGGCAGTCCACCAGTCCCCACACTTTCCCACTCTTTCAGGAAAGCAGAGTACATGAAGAGGTGTCATCTCGCTAATTAACTTTTATAGAGAGAGCTGAATTTTCATTTATTTTTTTATAGAAAATACCTTTACCAAAAAAAAACAAATTTTTGCCAGAAAACTTTCATTTATGTTAAAATCCTAAAATCCTTTGGTTTATGTTTCTTCGTTATCTTCCTCTCCTTTCTTTAAAAGTAAAATTTTATCAATTTTTCTCATCAAAAACTAATTTTTTTTAAGTTTCAGGGTGGGGGGAATCACCTTTTTTTTTAAGCACTCCTGCTCTTTTATTTTCGTTAGTGATTTGTTTTCATGGTTTGTAGCCTAGTAGAGTATTCACATTGTTCCCCGGAACAATAGCTATTGCAAGTGTTCATTTGCTTTACTTTTCCTATGAGGCCTTCAGAGGTTCCCAGAAAACACAAAGATGAACATACACGTCCACAACTTCAGGATTAAAAGCAAACGTGTCTTCAATTCCTTGGCTTCGTAGGGTTACCAGCCCTCCAGGATTGTCCTGGCGTCTCTGAGAATTAAAAATTAATCTTTAATTGAAGATTATGTCATGTGATGAAATCCAGGACCCCCCAGAGGATTCAGGGGGCTTGGGGCAAAGCAATTTCAGGGACCCCTTCCATGAAAAAGGTTGCAATACTATAGAATACTATATTCGCTTGGGGGCCCCTGCGGCCCCTTGCCCCCCGCTGGGCGGCCCTGATGAAATCCTCAACTCAGCAACCTGTCTTTTGGCATTCTGGGTCCACTGAAAGAGAAACGGCCAGATTGTGGTTTCTTTGGCGGTGCTAAGTTGGATATTTCAGCGCTGGGGACCCAATAAACACCTCGCTACCCCGGAGAGAACCTCCACGTGCAAAGCAACAAACAGGGCCGGCTCCAGACACCAGCATTCCAAGCAGGTGCTTGGGGCGCCAATCTGCAAGGGGCAGCTGTCCGTGTGTTTTTGCCACCACAAGCAGCGCGCCGAATTGCCGTGGCGGATGGTGGGGGCAGTCCGTGTGCCGTTAGGGCGGCACGTGCGTTTCCGCGGCAGCGGCAATTCGGCAGCAGCTTCTGTCTTCAGCTGCCCGTGGCAGCAATTCGCCGGTTTCTGTCTTCCGGCTGAAGACAGCAGCTGCCGCGGAAATGCATGTGCTGCCCCAACAGCACACAGACTGCCCCCGCCGTCCACGGCGGCAATTCGGCGCGCTGCTTGGGGCAGCAAAAACAGCAGAGCCGGCCCTGGCAACAAAGGCTGGGCTGGGCGGATGGATCAGGCGCTCCAGATGCAGTTGCTAGGCAGCGCGAAACCCAAGCTGGCCGCCGCCCGACTCCCGAGGCGGTAGTTCTAAGCCTGCGCGCGCCACGCGGCCCAGCACGCAGGCGGGGGGGACTACAAGCCCCAGCATGCAGCGCGACTGGCCCAGCCGCAGGATTGTAGTGACCACGCTTCTGGGGGGGGGGAGAGGCCCAGACCGCGCGGAGCGTCCGTTCGTGCGTGGGGTGAGAGGTCACAGCGGTGACGGCAACATGGCGGCCCCCAGGAAAGCAGAGAGCGGCCAGGTGGCTCCGGCGTCCAAGGACCGGAGCAAAAAGAAAGCAGGTAAAGGGGAGCCTCGCGTCGGGATCCGAGCGGGAGTCGTGTGTGGCGGAGCGGTTAGACGGCTCGGCCTGGGCTCCGCGCGCCGGCCTAGGACCCCTCCGCGCGCACCGGGGGGCGCGTTGCTGCTGCTGCCGCCTCGTTCTGGGGGCCTGCGCGTGTGCTCGCCCCTCTGGGCTGCGGGGAGGGCTGTGCTCGCGCTCATCCCTGTGTGGGGGGAAGAGTAAGCACGCGGCCTGCTGTAAGGCAGTTGGTGCGGTTGGGGTGAGCTGCACGTGGAGACCTGAAAACTAACACTCCCACCCCATGATGTGCAACCAGGATCCACTGCCTGAGCCAGCCCAGCTCCCCGTCCCCTGCCGGGCTAGCCCTGCCCCCCCACCCCCCCGCAACATGCACACCTGGCCCGTGCTGCTCGGGGACCTGTCCTGAGCATCAGCAGTGAGGTGCCGTGTGTTGTGCCCTGCTCGTGGGCTGCAGGCAGAGAGTCAATGGGCGGGAACAATACAGTAGACGCTTAGTAGTAACATTTCGGTGCTCTTTTGTTATGTTGCTCCTAAGCGGCTGACCAAAGCCGTATGAAGAGTTAAGGGTGTTTCACCTTGGCGGGTGTGGGAACCCCAAGTTTTGGGCGGAATGGGGTAGGGGAGCCCCTAGTCGGCAAACGGGCTGAGTGAGCCCAGCTGCTGAGGATGCTCCACCCTGGCAAGGGATGGATGGCTGGGGACGGCACTGTGTGCAGACTGCAATGGGGGGGAGAGGGAAAGGGGTGGCTCCTAGCATGGACAGTAGAGAGGCCCAGGGTAGTGGCCCGGGGAGGGGGGGGTCACCTGGCCCCCCACTGCAAAACAGTACACCCACATGTTGCCACTGGCAACTGAAATGGAGGGGACAGCTCAGTGCACAGGGGTCCCTGATACTCCCCACTGCAATATAGCAACCCTCTGCTGTTCACAAGCCCCACATGCTGGGGAAGGGAGCAGGAAACCTTCCAGCTGTGTCTGTGCTCCTCTGATCCCAGTTCCCTGTCTTTCTCCCCCCCCCCCCCCAATTCCTCTCTTTCAGAACTTCCCGCCTACACATGTTCTCCATGGAGGTTCTGTCAGGCAGGGCAAGTGGGCAGGGCAGTGTGCCCTAGGGTTGTGTGCCTGGAGCTGTGCTGAAGGGCCAGGATGAGGAGGGGAGTGGAAAGATGCAGTTTGGGGGGGTAACTCCTCTACATGCCTCCACATCTCCCCCCGGATGTGACATCACAATGTCACAAATGTTGGTCTTATGCGGCGGTTATGTTGCTATTACCAACTGGACAATTCACAGTAGGGAAAGTGTTCCCAGGGGAAATGTTGCTTGTAAGCAATGGTTGCTCTTACAAGGTGTTAGTACAAACAAGTGTCTTCTCTACATCCGTTTGGGGCAAGTGTAAGCCAGAGTCACAGTGGCACTACACTTCTGTAGTCATGCCAGGAATGGGACATGACATAGAATGAGTGTGCACAGGGATTTACTAGTAGTGGATGTGGTAATGATACAGGGCTAAAACTGGTCCAGGGTGGGTGGCTAGTAGGGATGCTCAGTGTACGGTGGGCATGGATGGCTTCCTGTTTCTGTTTTTCCCCCCCAAAAATAATAAACAGAATAAAATCAAAATTTGCATCTGAATCCCTTCACCCCAGTTGCTTCTCACGCAGACATCCCCAGATAACATTTATAATGACTGACCCTTGTCCGGGGTCAGGCCCCAGGGGTGTATCGCAGACCATGTCTACATTTACGCAGACTATGCTTACATTTATCTCTACATATGTAGCTCCAGATAGGGTTTCCAGATGTACTAACTGGAGACCAAAAGTCCGGTTACTGCGGGGGGTGGGTGGGTGTGCCAGGTCATGAACCCATGCCAGCCCTGCTCAGCCAGGGCAACCTCCCCCCAGAGCAGAGGGGGTTCAGCTGGTGGGAGAGGAAGGGAGGTGGAGAGCAGCGAGCAATGTGGGGAGGGGAGAGGAGTGAGCAGAAGGCAGGGCAGGGGTGTGGCCTTGGTGAAGGGGCAAGGCCTTGGGGGAGAGGCGGCAGGGGGGGGGGGCTGATTTTCAAAAATTAGAAAGTTGGGAATCCTAGCTATACACTGCAGTGAAAGGCTCTGGCGGGGGGGAAGCAGTGCTGCCTCTCCCCTGCCAGAGCCTTTCACTGTGGTGGGTAAAGGCTCTGGCAGCAAGGAGGTGATAGGACACTACACAGATAAGAATAGCAGTGTAGACATGGGATGCACTGATGGGGCATGTAGAGAGCTGTGTAGGGTACATACACTGAGGGTTCAGGCATACAGGGCATTCTACTTGCTGAAGCTGTGCCTTACCATCTCCCCTGCCATTTATATCCATGCTAGCTGGGTGTGCTGTGTCTGTATTCTACACACCACTGTAAGTATAGATATACCTTCAGATCATATCTGACACCAATAGTTGGTTACAGAGAAAGGAAGCAGGGTGGGAACATGGAGACTAATGGATTTTCTGTCTTTCAAATACCTCCTTGTTACTTGTAAGCAAATAATACCAAGAATTTCAGACATAAATGGGCCAAGAATTATCCAGTCCTCTGTAAACTAAATGTTAGGGGTGAAGGGCTGTCTTTAATTATTTTGAATTACTGTCTGCTTTCTGCTTTTCTCCCTCATTTATACCAATTTCCCACTCCCACTGTGATGGTCATCTTTGCCAAACATTTGGGAATACAGTTTGTTTTAAAACACTACACTAAATAAAGGCCTAGTTTTGCAGACTTAGGGCAGGTCTATACTAGAAGCGCTACATTGGCATAGTTGCAGTGTGTCTGGTGAAGACGTTCTATGCCGTTCTACATCAGCACAGTTATTCCTCCCCTGTGAGAGGCAGAAGCTATGTCAGTGGGAGAGCGTCTCCTGCTGACATAGCGCAAGTGTGGACAGCACATACGTCTCTGTAACTTGCGTCGCTCAGGGAGATTTCTTTTGCACCCCCCTGAGCGACACAAATTAGATCAACTTAAGTAGTAGTGTAGACCTACCCTTCGTCACATACATAATATTTAGCAATGCAAGTGTTCTCATTGCCATCACCGATAACAGGTTTGATTGCTAGAGTTCTGTTGCACCAATTGCTCCAGTTATGAGGAACTTTTGACAATGTTGATATGAATTATTTTGTAACATTAAAGTGAGGTGCTTAAAGGCAGATTGTCCTTTCCACCTGCCTCTGTAAACCACTCAGGAGCGGCACCAGGGTTTTTGGCGCCCTAGGCGGGGGTCCTTCCGCGCTCCCGGTCGTCGTCGGCAATTCTGCGGCGGGGGGGGCCTTCCGCGCTCCCGGTCTTCGGGGCACTTCGGCGGCGGGTCCCGGAGCGAGTGAAGGACCCGCCGCAGAATTGCCGCCGAAGACCCGGAGCGCGGAAGGACTCCCTGCCGCCGAATTGCCGCCGAGGGCGGCAAAATGCCGCCCCCCCAAATCCTGGCGCCCTAGGCAACCGCCTAGGTCACCTAAATGGAAGTGCCGGCCCTGAAACCACTCCAGATAATAAAGAAATGTTAAGTTACTCAGTTTGAACAACACACTAAATAATTTTATTGTGGATTCCCACTCCTCAGAGCTAACCCTAATGACTAAATAAAAATTAGCCCACAAATGTCTGTCACCAAATCTTATTTTCTTGTTTTCTGCACAGAAAAATGTCTAATAACTACACACTGTCATTAAACTTGTCTGCCTGGTAATCATTTGTTTTTATTATAATATCTGTTAAGCAGAACAAACAGACTACCAAAAGTTGAAGCCTCTCTTATCCATAGGTCTTCATTGCCACTGACCTTCCTTATCTGCTCCTTGAATAAATAAAGGAATTTAAGCTCCTCCTTTAATATTCTTGTACATCTACAGCTACTCTTGATTTCAGAGGGAGTTGTTGATACTCAGCACACCCCAAAAATCAGACCCACCCACCCCAAGATTTAGGACTGTTAATCTAGTTCCTTTTGTAATCATTAAATGGGAAAAAAACTAGTCATTGTTGCAGGGAAAAGCACTCTAAATCAAGTGATTTTTTTTATTTGTAACAGTAGATGAGTCAGAACTTCTCACTGTTCCTGATGGATGGAAAGAACCAGCCTTTACAAGAGAAGATAATCCTAGAGGGCTTCTGGAAGAAAGCAGCTTTGCAACTCTGTTTCCGAAATACAGAGAAGCTTACTTGAAGGAGTGTTGGCCATTGGTGCAGAAAGCCTTGAATGAACATGTATGAATAATTCCTAGATATATATGAAATAAACTTATTTTATGCCATTTCAAAGATTAATTACACATAATGTTAATTATTTAAAGCAAAATCATACAGGAAAATACACTACTTTCACAATATTTTAAGTATATATTTCTTAATATATTCATATTTTAAGAATTTAGAATGGAATTCTGCACTCTTATTTTAATGTATTAAGTTGACAGTCAGTTTAGAATCAAACCTGCACCCAGCATAAAAATAGTAATGTTTTCTTCTGACAGTTGACTATGTGTGATTGACCATTATTTTTAATTTCTTTATAAATATTGCAGCATGTGAATGCGACGTTGGACTTAATTGAAGGTAGTATAACTGTCACCACAACTAAGAAGACTTTTGATCCATATGTGATCATCAGGGCAAGAGACTTAATAAAGCTTTTAGCAAGAAGTGTTCCATTTGAACAGGTTTGTAGCTAAAGCCACTAATTTATATCAACTATTTAGTATTTCAACTTTAATATTGAATTTATCTATATTAAATTATGTTAATTTTACATTCCTATTTTTAAAGAAGTTTATGATTTTCAAATAAAGTCAGTTGTGGAGAATAAAATATAATTTTCAAAAGAAAAAGTACATCTGGGAATACTGAAACTGTGCTTAAATCAGAGTGTTCAGTTGACTTTCATTTAGTAATAAGTGATGAATTTGTGCTCACAATGACATAGTGCTGGTGGTAGTGCTGATTGCCTATATGTTTGCTCTTCTCTTTTATTTCTAACATAGCTTTGATTTTCCTTTTTAGGCAGTACGCATCCTTCAGGATGACACTGCGTGTGACATCATTAAAATAGGGTCTCTAGTGAGAAACAGAGAGAGATTTATAAAAAGAAGACAAAGACTCATTGGGCCAAAAGGATCCACTCTGAAGGTACATCTTACAAATGTAATAATCAAGATCTTAATTGTGTGAAGTTGTTTATCTAAGCACCAATTTATACTTATTTATTCCCTTTTTTGTGTAGGCTCTGGAACTGTTAACAAACTGTTACATCATGGTTCAGGGGAACACTGTTTCAGCTCTGGGACCTTTTAATGGGCTAAAAGAGGTGAGAGAGAGAACTCACTAGCTTTTTTAATAGACCCCTACCACCAGCCCTGCCCCACCCCACCCCATCCCACCACACCCCCACTAACCTTCCAGCTAGGATCCAGCTCCTACCCACCCCCAGCAGCTAGCTAGCACGTAGCTACTTCCAAGACAACTCCTCATCCCAACAACCTGAGCATTCTTTAAACCCTCCAGCACCCACCCACTTACCAACCAACCCAAGCATCCCTAGATAGCCTCCATCTGACCTACCCCAGTACTCACCTGCCTTCCATGTGCTATCCCTGCCATTACTTGGGGCACAGAGTGTTTAACCATCAGGTGAAGTTGATAGTTATATTCAAATTATTTGTTGGCATGCACATTAACTCGTTGAATAATTTGCATGACTGTCACATGTGGATCTGTACTCAACTTGACCCCTTCCTGCTTTTAGCGGTCTGATCGCCGGAAAGGAAAGTGGGTCAACCTACATCATACACAGTAGGGGCAGAAACAATGCAGAAATACATGAGTTTCATGAGGATGGAAATATTGCTCTGAGACATTTGCTTATCAAGCTGACCAACACCGTCTCATTGTTTCCTTGTATTTCCCTGTCTTTCTGTCTGTCTGCATCCATCTATTGTCTCTTACTTAGAGTGTGAGCTCCTTGGGGCCATCCTTTTGTTCTGTGTTCAGCACCTAGCCCAGTGCACTCCTGGTCCGTGGCAGGGGCTGCTAGGTGCTACAATAATACAAACGATGATAATAAATATAAAGGTATATGAGTACCAGTATTTTTCAGAGTCAGTGAAACTGGTTTCACTGTCAGACTGAGTGCTGTTTTGAGTTGCGAGCTCTGCAGGAGAATGTTATAGGCAGTTGTTTCCACTGGAATTATAACACCATTCGTGGAAACCTTTCTGTTGATTGTGGGTATTGTAAACCATTTGTCTGATAAAAATCTAAATGTGGTGGTAAATTGTGCCTTTTTAAAATTGAAGATATCACTTAAAAAATTAAAAATCATATTTCTATCTGAAACTTTTTTACTTTTGTTATGGGGAACTACTAAGTATTTAGTTTTAAGATAAGTAATTCAAAAAGGTTTAGAGAAAAATATTTCTCTAAAGTTCCACTTGTGCAAAGGAGTTTGAAGAAATCATTGTATATTTAGGACTTTCATTTACGATAATTTAGAATATTGATTGTGTTTTCCCTTCCCCTTGCCTTTTTTTAAACCTAGGTTAGAAAAGTGGTCCTGGACACTATGAAGAATATTCATCCCATATATAACATAAAGGTGGGTGTGGTCTGGTGTATTATATTAAGGCTAGTACATTACTGTGCATTTTGTAAGGGGTTGCATCTTTGTCTATTTTTCTGTCTTAAGGTATGTTCCTTGTCACAAGGCACCTTAACTGATACAGCTTTTTATAAATTAAGTATTCCCGTGGTACTTTATTTTGAGGGTTTCTCCTATAATGAAATTTTTTAAAGAAACATTTGCAGTATATTGCTTTGAATATACTTCTGTGTATTAGGGTACACAATCAGTGTAATCATAACAGTACCTGACAAAGCACCAAAGGAAAAGTGCATATTCATCTGTGTGTCTCCATGATTAGCAGCTTGATACTCATTAATATTATATCAAGGCAGCTTTCCTGGTACTGTTAATGTCTCTGAGCCCCTGTAGAACGAACTCCTTGAGACATACACTTCTACCTCAATATAACACTGTCCTCGGGAGCCAAAAAATCTTACCGCGTTATACGTGAAACCGCATTATATCGAACTTGTTTTGATCCGCTGGATTGCGCAGCCCCGCCCACCCAGAGCACTGCTTTACTGTGTTATATCAGAATTCATGTTATATCGGGGTAGAGATGTAATTACCTCACATGTTTGACTGCTCCTGCTTAAACCACCGAATTTCCTTGTGAGTGTAGGTGATTCACCTATGTATTTAAATAACTGAACTTAGGAAGTATGTCAATTATATGTTTTAAATAATATTTCTTTTTAATATTTTGAAATGATTAAAGACTCTCATGATTAAACGGGAGCTGTCAAAGGACCCTGAACTAAGAACACAAAGTTGGGAACGATTTTTGCCTCAGTTCAAACACAAGAACTTGAACAAACGCAAGGAGCCAAAGAAGAAAAATGTTAAGAAGGAGTACACGCCTTTCCCACCTCCGCAACCAGAAAGCCAGGTCAGTCTAAGCCTTGTATAATTCGACAGGAAAGATGAAAGGTCCTGAAATCTTGCTCGTAAGTAATTGGGAACATTAATCAGTTGATGCCGGATGCTTCCTCAGTATCAGTCTCTAACACACAAATGTGTTTTTTACAGGTTGATAAAGAATTGGCAAGTGGTGAATACTTCTTGAAAGAAAGCCAGAAGAAACGAAAGAGGGTGGAAGAGATAAAGGTAAGGTAGTTCTGATTTGTTTCAGCCTTCAGCAAAAAGAAAATGGGTTTGTTTTTTTTGTCAGTACAGTTCTCATTTTGTCTGATGTGACTGGTAAGTCAAGTGTTTGACTTTTTTTTTTTTTTTTTTTATTTTTAATTTATGTTTTTTTTTTTTTTTTTTTTTTTTTGTATTTTAGGCAAAACAAGCAGAAGCCATTAGTAGGAGACAAGAGGAAAGAAATAAAGCTTTTATCCCTCCCAAGGAAAAGCTCGTTGTAAAACCTAGAAAAGGTAATGTTTGTTTCCTGTCTCTAGAATCCTTTCTACTGTTTTTTTTTTAAAGCTACTTTCCTTTGGTTGGTGGCTATTTAGCCAACCGAGGTATATGGAGCATTAAGTATGAAATTCACCTTGTGGGTGAGGAGGTTCAGTGCAAGGCCCCCTCACTATTTAAATCCATCAGTGGAGCTGCATGGGGCAATGGAATAGATGAAGCAGCCTACAGCAGTGCTGCCTTTGAATGTTTAGTGTAACAAAGTGTCGACTCTAGAGAGTGACATTGGGAGAAAAGCTAGCGAGGACCTACTGGATCATCAGGCATGCAGAAGGTGTGTTTGCTACTTCAGTCTGTGCGCTAGAATAGGAGCTATGAAGGTCTGCTGATTTTTCCACTTTAACAGTTTCTTTAAATTAAAAGAAAAGATGAGCTTGCTAATCATACTTGGTCGATGTTTGAAACATAAAGACACCGCTTAGAGCAGGAGTGGGCAAACTTTTTGGCCTGAGGGCCACATCCGAGTTCCAAAGCGGAATGGAGGGCCGGGTAGGGAAGGTTGTGCCTCCCCAAACAGCCTGGCTCCTGCCCCCCTCAGAACTCCTGGCCCATCCAACCCCCCCTGCTCCTTGTCCCCTGACCGCCCCCTTCCGGGACCCCCGCCCCTAACCGCCCCCCCCGGGACCCCACCCCCTATCGGAATGCGGCCCTGCGAACATGGGTGGAGGACTCAGGAGGAGCAGGGGCAGCCTGCTTTCCCCTTCAAAGTTCCGCTTCTCTCCGGCCGGCTGTGCGGCCACCTGGTGCTCCTTCTGAGTCCTCCGCCCATGTTCGCCGCGTTCCCGCCACCCCCACTGCCCGCCTGCTCCCGCAGTGCAGCCCGTCCCCCTCTCCCCGTGGGGCGGGTGCCGGTGCAGAGCTGCCCGAGTGCCCGGCCCAGGGGCCCCCTGTTGGGGGGCCCTGTGCCAGGGCACCCTGTGTTCACTGGTAAATCTGCCCCTGAGCCACGCTGCCCGGCTGGAGCCAGCCACGCCGCCGCGCTGCCAGCACGGCGAGCTGAGGCTGCGGGGGAGAGGGAACAGCAGGGGAGGGGCTGGGAGCTAGCCTCCCTGGCCAGGAGCTCAAGGGCTGGGCAGGGAAAAAATTGAGATGCTGAAAAAGTATCCCATCCTGAATTGGAACTAAAGGTCACACTCTAACATTTTTTTGCAAATAGACAATCTGGAAAAAAAAATTTGGTTGAGCTCAATCGAAATGTTTGTTTCAATATTTTTGAAACTTTTACATTTCAACCTTCTTTATTTTTAACATTTTACTACGACTTAATTTGCTAAACAAAAAGTTGTTTTTGACTGAAAATCAGAATTTTTCACTTAGAAAATGTTGAAATGGGACACTTTTGGCAACTTTGAAACTTTTTTCAACAAAAAATGTAGAAACAAGAAATTCATCAAAACCAACCCTTTTGCACAAACAATTTAGGTTTTGACAAATGGGTATTTTTCTCATGAAAAAAGATTTTGTCAAGTAATTCTCTACCAGCTCTACTTTTACCTACTGGGTATACTTAATGTAAATCTCTCAGCCTTCCAAAATAAATTACAAAAACATTTTTGAAGTTAAAGAGAAGAATTGAGATCCAAAAATGTCAGCTCAATCCTATGCTCAAGTAGGAAGTAGCTTATGTGAGATAAGAACACTTGATCCTATCTCATGATTTCTGCCCAAGAGAGAGGCGGGCGCAGGAAATCCCACGGTTCTGGTTTATATGTGGTATTAAAATCACTGCTTGCACAGGCCACTGGCTGGGGAAGACAAAAACACACATGCCAACCTGCCATCCCCCCATCTCTTTCTTTCTGTGTTCATTGTTAGACACAGCTCATTGTGTATAAACATGGAATCATTTTGTAGACTGTTTCCAGTAGATACTGGAAAAAAATTAAGAGGGATGTTTCTCATATTTGTATGTTGTTTTTTATTGTGTAGCTTCTACTGAAACAAAAATTGATATTGAAGCAATCAAGGAAAAGGTGAAGAAAGCAAAGAAAAAGAAGCTGGGAGCACTTCCAGTGGAAGAAGTTAAATTAAAAATTGCAGCAGATGAAAAGAAAAAGAAGAAGAAGAAATGATTTGCCAGCTGGAACACTTGCATTTCTTTTACACTTGCAAAGGAACTGTTTTCGTACTTTGAAGATTTAAGACTTGGGGTTATCAGCGTTGCTATACTGCCAGTGAACACTGATGAAAAGATTCAAAAACACGTTTGTGACAAAGAGAATATGTTGGGGATTTATGGACCTAAATAAGCAGTGTAAAATCTTTGGAGCTTGAAAAGAAAATCATTTGGTATCCTCTGTCACATCATAAACAACTGAAAAGGTACAATAGTATCTTTTCACCATTCACATCATATGTGTGAGAGCGATTAGGAGTTTTAAACCTTACATGAAGGTTTTCAGTATTGCATAATACAAAAAGCAAGTTGTGGAAGGGTTGGTACAGAACGCTAAACATTAGGCCATAAGAATTTGACAGGAATATGTTAGGGGAAGGGGATTGTTTGTTTTGGGTTTTTTTGAAGAAACGTTTCTCTAACAGACTGACACTGTATAACAAGCTTCAGATATGGAGATGTTAAATCTGATAACTTTTGTAAAAGCAACCAGTTGTATTTTTATATATTATATGTCATTCTGTTTATCAGAGCTAATATTTATTTTTCATACGTGTGGTGTGTATTTCTTAACTATTTGTCTTCCACACATTATAACGTGACTGCAATGTATGTGGCATTGTTTCCATGTAGAGTACGCAGGTACCTATCATAAGACACTTGTTTAATTCCTTCAGTTTCTGGAAGCAGATTTGAAACAAACTAAGCATTATAAGAATGCAAATTTCAGTGCGTGACACTGACATTTTATACCCTAACTCTGGGCCAAGGGAATAAAATACTGAAGGAGAAGTAACTGCTTGAGAAACATACTAATAAAAAAAATAGGTGGCCTGGATGATGGTCTATCATCCAGCGCTGGCCATATGTGATTATTTATTTATAAAATGGCATTAGGAAAGAAGGTTTAACCAATACAAATAAGTCAGAAAAGGAGTGGTGATGTGGAGGTACTTTTTACATTTTCAAGTTGCATATAAAGTTGAAATTAAAAAATTTAAACTTCACTCACTGAGGCTAAGTCTACACTAGAAACTTGCCAGTGTAGTAATGCTGACTAGGGGTGTGGGTTTTCTTTTTTTTTCTCAACACAAGTATACTGTCAAAAGTCCGAGTGTAGTTACAGCTATATGATGGCATACAATCGTTTTGCTGGTATAGTTTATTTTACTGGTATAAGCAGGGTCTATGCTAGGTGGGTGTGTCGGGCTAGCCGTCCTGGCAAATTGTTTCTATTGTAGACCTAGCCTAAGTATAGGCCCTATAATGAGCTCTGTGCAAGTGGATTGCTTCCATAGAATGGCCCTACTTTGATTTCAACTGGCAAGCCCACATGGAACTCAATAATAGAAGTACTTATGTATATATATATTTCTCCATTAAAAATAAAGAATTTTGGAACAATTATTAAGCTGATCAAAGTTGAACAAGGATATGGCAGTATCAAAGCAGTGCGTAACTAAAATTTAGTTCTTACCCTTACTAATTAACTCGTGAAAATTATTGGTTACCATTTAATTTATTTTTCTTAAGAGTAGTTTACCTACATCATGCAACATATGGTGCCACCATCAGAACTGCCATTTATTAAGTCTCAATTCTTAATTTAACTTTCTGAGTGAGTAGGTGTGACTGGTTTCTTCGAGGACCTGATGACTCAGAGGGAATACCTACAAACCTTAGAAAATCTTAATGTGGAGATTAAACTGATCAGATGACTTGATCAGACTGAACTTGAAGGTTGTTAAAGGGAATGAGGCATGATGCAGAGATTTGCCCTTTGGAGTTCATTGTAAGATAAGTACCTAATTTTTTGAGCCCTGGTTGTAGAGGGTTATATATAAAGCATCTCTTAACTTTCATTTTTAAGCCATTTTACTTCAGTTTTTGCTATTTCTAAGGTCTACACTGGGGGGCGAATCGATCTAAGTTATGCAACTTCAGCTATGTGAATAACGTAGCTGAAGTCGACGTACTTACCGTGGTGTCTTCACTGCCATAGGTCAACTGCTGACGCTCCCCTGTCAACTCCGCCTACGCTTCTCGCTCTGGTGGAGTACCAGAGTCGATGGGAGAGCGCTCGGCAGTCGATTTATCACGTCTTCACTAGATGCAATAAATTGACCCCTGCTGGATCGATCGCTCCGGAGGTAAGTGTAGACATACCCAAGGGATGACATAATATTCGGTTCATTTTCTTTGACTAATAAATGTATGTAGGCCTTTCTCTTAATTAAACCTTTTGTTTTGTAAACATGTTCAGGACCTTTTTATTTTATTTCAGTAAATGGAGATTAAATTGAAATAAAACTCCCAGGAGTAACCAACTGGCTGGCATTCCATTCATACTCTTGAGATTTGTAGATTTTAAAGCCAGAAGTGAACATAATTTAGTGATCATTTAGTCTGGTCACCTACATACCACAAGTAATAGACCTTATAAAGTACATTTCCCCCATGTCTGTGAAAGAGTAGATGGGATTTGGACCCATGATTACTTGCATACAAAGCAAGAACCATTCTACTGGACCAATGCTGCTCAACCTCTTCAGCTTGGTGACCCCTTATTTGAAATTGAACATTTTCACAACTCCCTTGCATTTACTTTAAAAGTAAGTATAAAAAAATCAGTCATAATGATAAGCCTAAGTTAGTTAGTTGCATGTGTGTTGAGATGTCAGAATACCTGAGGTTGAAGGGCAAGGATGTGGTAAGTACGGGAGTGAGATTTTCTTTGGTTTAGATTGTAATAAAACTTTAAATACCTTGCAACTGTGTGACTGACATTCTGGAGTGCAATCCAGACCAGTGAGGGGTTTTCACCACCTGCCGGGCAACCTGGGGTGCCTCAATGCTTTGATCCTGTAGCTCCCACCGTGGGTCCCTCACAAGCAGCCAAACAGCATGGAGGTTGCACTTGGAGTGTCTGTGTAGAGCTGCAGCCTGACAGCACACTCTGGCTTCCACCAGCTTTGGTGACCACTTGCAGGATGACCCCAACACATTCCCAGACCTGAGTTTTCCCCCGTAATCTGTATTCTGCACCGTCCAGTCCTTTCCTGGACAGTTGAGATATGTTAGGTCTATTGCCCCTGTAAGGAAACAATAGCCAACAGTTTGCTACTTTAAATGGAATTACCCAAACAATTCAATTGGAATGCCACACTGCCTTAGTTTTGATTAAAGAATAAAACAAGTTTATTTAAGTATAGAGAGAGAGAGTTTAAATGAGTACAGGTACAAAGCATTACCGTCAGAAATGGTTACAAGAGAGAAAAAGATAAAATGCTTTCTAGTGCTAAAACTTAACAAACTAGACTTGGTTCAGGAGAAAATTCTTACAACACATTCCTAGTAACAGGACTGACCAAATTTCAGGTTGGACTCTCTCCCAAAGTCAAATGGCTGCTGCTTTTGTCATCTTAGGAGAAAGAGAGATAGGGAGAAATACCTTGGAATGTTTTTGTCCCTCACTTTTATATTCCAGTCACTCTTTGAAATGCATTTTCCTGAGGGTTACCCCTAGATAAAGTTAATTCCTGCTGTGAGATTGGAGTCGTTTGAGCATTGGCCTGCTAAACCCACGGTTGTGAGTTCAATCCTTCGGGGGGCCATTTAGGGATCTGGGGCAAAAATCTGTCTGGGGATTGGTCCTGCTTTGAGCAGGGGGTTGGACTAGATGACCTCCGGAGATTCCTTCCAATCCTGATATTCTATGAAACCCAGTTTCTATGAGTCATGGAGCCTTGTGATAAAAGAGATTCCATGCTGCTGTTTGCTAAAATGTAGATCGATTGGTTTTTGCCCCTTTCTTTGCCAAGAAATAGCCCCTTGACAGGTGACTGCCCATCAACTTTGATGACATCTGGCTAGAGGCCTCAGCTTGTCCTTTGTCTTTGAGAAACAGGTTTATCCATTCCCCAGATGTGACTGGTAGCAACATTTCAGTCATAAATTCATTTTATGTTGATAACGTTACATATAATGTTGCTACACATTTCACCATGATATTATTAACCAGTAAGTTATTAGTTTTCAAATGATACCACACAAGGCATACTTTGTATAAAGATTAATACTGTGTAGTGTGTGACTACATGGTGCATTCAGTTACAATGACACCTGTCACCCCCAGAGATTGTGACCAATTGGTTGAAACACATTGCACGATACTATCTAGTTACTGCATAATCTGTCCACTAATATAAAGAAATTTTAATCACCTAAAAGGTTAATCTAATTTTTAAAAAATCATCTAGACAGACTCCCTAATTAAAAGTATGGTTACTTTAAGCTCAATATGAAAATTACCTAAAAACTAAGTCCTATCTATAGTGAATCCTTAGGATCTTTAGGACCAGGCATACTTACCCACCATGAAAATCAAATTGAAAAGGGAGGCTTAATGACAGTCAATGTAGGTTTAATGGGCACCACTGATACAGACAAGTTATTTAATAATGGTAAGAACCACATGTGCGTTGCATACTGCTTTATTATTGTTGTATCCTTGTTAACGTTTGATTGGCTTATATCAAATTGATTGCGTTAAAAAACATGTCTTGTTTTTCTCTTAAAATATTTATTTAAGTGTGTTTATCAAGTCTTGGATGGCCTACTCTATGGAGTGTGAGAATGTATAAGGTCCATCCAAACTTTGGCAAAGTGACGTTGACTCTCCTAGAGTAAAGACAGTACGTGAATACCCAAAGCTGAATAGTACCACTTTGCACAGTTGCAAAGGAATACGTAGTATTACTCCTGGGGCAATTCTGTGCCACAGCGAACAAACCAGAGGGGGTGTGGCGCTAGAACAAAGCAGCTGCACCTGGCCAGCCCCAGCTACGATAGGGAAGAGAAAGAGCCTGCCTTCTTCACAGCGTCTGTCGGGCCAGATCAGGAGGCAGGGGTTAGGGGAAACAGACATTGTGGGGCTGCTGGGCGGTCAGACAGGCTCATAAGGACCAGTTGGGGAGGACAGACTGGGACAGGGGCTCAATGGGAGTGGAGGTGCAGGGCCAAAAGGGCAGGAGGGATGTGCAAGGTCACGTGTAGAGGGGGAGGGAGTGCAGAGTTACAGGGGGAAGGGAGATGGCTGAGTAGGGGCACAGAGACACATTGGGTCGGGGTGAAGGGGTACATGGAGATGAGGGGAGGGGCTGGCTAAGGAGGTGCAGGGACACATGGGGACAAAGGCAGCTGTGCCTGACTGAATGGGATAGGCTAGGGGTCAGCCAGGGTCTGCATGGGGAAAGCTCCCTAACAATTTCCCCTCCCCCCAAAAAAACCCCTGTTCCATACTTTTCCCACCCATACCCAACAACCCTTCAAGTTCACACCCAGGCTCCTTCCTAGCAATTACTTTCCTCTCCCTCAGCTTCTCCGTTACCCCTGACTCCCCCAAGCCTTTGCACTGCTTCAGAGGGGTGCAGGAAATACATTTCTGTATTGTATTTTAAATGAATTATTATTCAGAATTCTGTATTAATATGCCTAGTAAGGAATCTATTTGTCAAAAAACATTTCCTGAATCTTTTTTGTTGTCT